TTGAATTCTGGCTAAAAGATCATCATCTGCATCAAGTTTAGAAATTCTTTCACTTGACAAATCAATTCTGGATTGTGTATCTGCCATTGTTTTATCAAGATACAGGTATGTTCAAAATTCGAGTCTGATAAATCACATGACTCCATGAAAAAATTTCACCAAGAAAAATTGTTAAAAAAATCAGAAAAAATAAAAATAAATTCGGAAAAAATATATGTATATGAGCTTTATCGTTACAATAAAATATATGATTGTTTAATAAAATACAGTTAAAAAAAATTTTCTATGTACACATTGCTTTTTTACTTTCAGGTTCGTCACATGCTATTATTCTATCTTTTAACAAACCAACAATTATCCCAATAATTTGTTTTATACTATCCCGCAAACTTTCTTGCCCCCCCCCCCTTTAGTGCATTTTTCAAGAGGTCTATCAGGTAATCTGTTTTACTTGTACAATATAACCCATCTGACGCGAACATAATGAAATGTCATTCCGTAGCAGTGAAAATGATACCATAAAGAAAATCATATCCATTATTATTAAATGCTTGATCCGCCGTTCGTTTTTTGTTTTCGTGGAAGGAGCTCTCAAGTTGCTTTATATTCTAAAAATACGAGCATTATTAATATAACTAACGAGATAAATGATTGGACATTTTAGCAAAGCAGTGATATCTGAAGATACTCTATTTTTATATTTCGTGGTTTCCCCTCAGTGATACATAAAAGATCTTCCATCCCACTAATTGCATAATCCACTCGACCTGTTGCCTCTTCACCAGAAATATCCAACTGATATGAGATATCTATTTCTTTATTGGTATCCCTTCTTGCAATGGCAATTGATGCGTGTAATATAGATTTAATGAAAGTATACCAGGTTGCCTCATTGGCATCTATCATTGATTTTATCTGCGCGAGACGTAATGTAATTTCTGCAATACATTATTTGAGGGCCTCATCATTATCATCAATTTTTTCAAAAACTATAACAGAGGAGTTACCAGATGGTAACAAGAAACATTAGTCATATTGATAAAAACTAAAGAAAAAATAAGTCACATGTAATCATTTCTAACAAAAAAACTTACTTGGATTGAATTATTTTGTATTTGTAATATCATTCCCATTAACTTTATATTTACGAAGTACCTCCTTAAGCTCCTCTACTATTTTATATGATGAAAAGGCTTGTAATTTTGTTTCATTAAGCTTTTCAATAAATTCTGTAAGTCTTTTTGCAGGCCCTCCTTTAAAACTATAATTGAGAAATTCCTCTTTGTTGTTTCAAGAAAGTCAAGACCAGTCATTCCTTCTCTACAAAAAATATCAAAATCTGCTTTTATGAGTTTTAAATTATTCCTATCTAAATAGTCGATAAGCTCCTCAATATCATAGTCCTTAATAACTTCTCCTATGGTACAATTTATTATTTCTTCATCAGAGTATATGCTTGAAGGTGACGCTGGTTCTGAATATGTGAGCATTTTTATAGGTATTGATTTTTATTAAAACTTGTTTTTTTATGCAATATTTATTATTGTAATCGATTTTAGACATGCTAACGAAAATTAAATCAATTAAATCATATAATTGATATGTATATATTAAATCAAAAATAATAAAACTAGTGAATATTATTACTTTACAATAGAATTATTTGTTAATTTCATATGCTTTATTAACGAATAATTTTAAGTGCTAAGATATTAGCTCTGTTATATAAAATCCAATGCTTGAACTCGAGATATCCACATGTTTATTCTTCAAATCATGAACAACTATACAAATGATATTTATATCTATATATCTCACTACTATCAATACACCTCTCTCACATTCTCATCACAAATATCTCAACAAAATATGATGAATTAACACTCTTGAAGAGATGGTTCAAGAATCCAGGCTCTATGGGATACTCTTCAAGTATCTGCACTAAAAATGAATTGATATATTGTTAACCATAAAGAATCAAATCTAATAGGTCTAAATTTCTAAATTTGATATAAATCATCAAATATGTCAGGTCTTAATATTCCTATTATTATTGATAAAAAGCTAGAATGTGGAAACCCATTAATAATCATCTTGGATATGATATGAAATATGTAAAGTCATATATCTACAATTATTGTGGTATTAATGATTATCAACGATACTTTAATGATCTTTATAAGACTGAAAAATAATATGATACTTTATCAGTTATTCAACCCAATGAAACTCTACAACAATGGGCTATTCGAGTTAGAGTTCCTTTACAAGAGCTGGTCTCTGAAAAGAAAATAAGTATATATCACGTTCATTGTTTATTTGGAGCATTTAAAATTCTAAGCTAGTCAATTATGACTACTACAGACTTAAAATTCATAAGACTAATGTGGTGATATGTCTTAATTGTATGAAGCTAATTCGTATTGATAATGTAAAACCAACAAAAAAATTTCATTATACTAAAAGTAAATATGTCAAAATTATCAAGCCTGAGGATTTAATGTAAAAACATTGGAATCAGGAGTGTAATAAACCTAAATCTCAAGATGGAAATGCTCAAATTATACAAAATACTTATCAAAATTATAAGAATAGGCCTGAATCCTTAGTAACTGAAGCTTGGAATTCAATGAAAAATTATGGTATTTTTAATGATAAGAAATTTCTAAATTTAATTCTTCACAAAATAAAAAATTCTCAAACTCAAGAACAATCTGAACAAGTTGCAATGTATAGGAGATATAACAATCAACACGTGTTGTTACTAGTTAACCTTTTGAACTAATTTTATCTTCCAAAAGGCAATTTACAATTAGCAACTTGTAAACAGTTACTTTAGTTTACAAATTGAAGAAGATAATAAAAGAAGAATAAAAGAATAATTTTAAGTTAAATATTAAAACTAGGATGTAGAAATTTATAATCACAGAAATTAAGTTTACTAATTATCAGTTAAATTTTAAAGGGCAATTTTAAGAGATTAGAGCAAGGAGCTAAATATAATTGTCAATAATTTATAAAGTAATAATGAGAGTTTATTGATTAGAATTTATATTTGAAGAATATAAATTAATAGAAAAGCAACAGAGATTTAATATAGAAAATATAAGTTTATTATGAAGAAAATCAATAATCCAGTTACCCTAGAATTATAAAAATATTAATTCAATTACAGAATTAATTATAGTTGAGATTACTTTCTAAATTTTACTATTTTGAAACTATTTGAATCTAACTTGGAGTGGAGAGAAAATTTATCCTTTTTATATTATTTGATTTGGTCAGTAAGTTGGTTAGTAAGTTGGTCAAAATCTTAGTTCACTAAGTTAGTCAGCAAATTGATTAGTAACTGGACCACTATAATCTACATTATTAATTTACATAATTTATATTATACTAATAAATAAATACTAATTATAACTAATAAATAAAATATACTAAATATTTATACTAACAATATGAATAACAAATAAGAAATAAAATAACAATAAATAAAAACAAAATTATCAAAGTGGAGAAAACTCATGATAACATTTTTTCTCTTTGTTAAGTTCTCTTTGTACCTTTTTTTAAATTCTATCAACTCCTTAAACTGCTAATTATTCAAATGGGTAATGACTCTAAAAGTCATATGTTGTGTGCAATAAATCTGGTTGATATCAGTTGCAAATAATTTGTAAATTCTAATAGATTCCAGGTAATTTCATCTTTCATTTTTAATAGAATTATGGGATATGAATTCCATCCATTTTTCTCTAGGTGTAACAGATAATTCAATTAATTTTCCCATAAAAAATGTATTTACAAAAGTATAAATTTAATGTTTTTGTTAGGAAGTTTGTTAAGTAACATTATAAGCCTTATTCATTACTTTAGATCATTTTTCAGTTGGAAAATATGGACATTCAATAAGCTGAATAATATGTATTCCAGTCATAATTAAATCTAATTTTAATAGGATTAATTGTTGAGTTGTCATTAGTAAACATTGTTTGCAAAAGAATTGAAGTCCTTTTTATTACTTTTTAAGTTATACATGTATTAATTATAACCTTTTTTAAATTATTGTTTTTAAATTATAAGTTGAGGTTACCAAATAGTACAAGTTAAATAAGTTTTTAATTGATCTGCATAAACTACTTCTTTTAATTGTTGTTCAAATTGATTATGTAATATATATACTCCTTTATCTAAACATTTGTGTATTTTAAATGGTCCTTTCTATTTAGTTTTTAATTTATCAGACTATTGTTTATCTAATTTGAAATCATATATTAATAATAGATCACCAGGTTTATATTTTACTATCTTAATTAACTTGGTGAAATATCAGACTTCTTGTTATTTTTGTGACTTTCTAATATTATTTTATGTTATTGTCACTACTGTAAAAAGTATTTTGAACAATTTCTTAAATCAGTCTCAAAGTTTGCATCACACAAACATAATAATACACTCTATCTGCCAGTAGGTCACAGCTAATACAATCAATTTAACTGGCCTATCTCGAAACAGATAATAAATATATAATAAATAATAATAATAATCAAATAATTAATCAATTAATTATGAAGGCACAGTGAGTAAGGTGAAGTAAAAGTGGTTGACACAGTATCAAACAATATTTAATAATATTCCGCAATATTACAGCACAAGATATAAGTTTATTAAAATATAAAATATAAAGTTTTTAAAAGTAAAGTATAATTCAGTGACAGAAATATTATCATGTGTTAAGATGTCTATTTTACTATCCCTGAAGTAAGTTTACTTTTCTATCTAATAATAATTAAAATATTTTGATATATTCCGTATTAAGTGATAATTAATTAACTAATAACTATTAATGAATTCTGATCACTCTTTTAAACTTACACCTGACAACAGTCATATTTATATTTTCTCTTTTGTTTACACTTTATCCTACTCATCTTCATACTTCATTCTTCATCCTGGTACAGTCATCCTTCATCCTCGTATGGTTATCTTCATACTATATATGTTCCTAAAATTGATTTTGGATTTTTAAGATATTTCGACTTTTTGAGATTTATGTAAAATTTATTCTATATATGGAAGTAAAAAAAGTATCCAGTTATATGTATCTTTAATCAAAGAATAAATCTGGGTGGACAAAAAATTTTGGGTTTTAAGTAAAATAATTTTGTCTTCTATGAAAAACTATTTCAACTTTTTTCTCCGAAATTGCAATTTCAGGACCCCAAAATAATTTTGCATACAAGTATACTTCGTACTTCATCCTTCATCCCGTACGGTCATCTCACGTGAGATAACGATTACCTGAATGTTCATCTAGTGACACAATTTATCATCTCCTGTAACATTTTACCTGATTACCAATTTGGATTGCCGCACTATTTCATAATATTGTAATAATTTATTCACAATTTTAAAAGCTCTATAAATAATAATATTTCTCAATTCAAATTCATTGATTGGTTTGTTTTCAGTTATTTCAACTGGTAATATTACATCTTATCTATATAATAAAAAGAAGAAGGTAAATTTAGTTGTATTGTGTTTATGTGTTCTATAGACAAATAATATAGCTAATATATATTCATCTCAATTCATGATATGTGCAAACCTTTTACAATTTACAAAAACAATGGGATAAAATAATACTAAATTAACAAATAAAACTAAGTATAACTATAAGAATTACTAATCTTAAAATAAAATAATTATGATATAAGAGTTTATATGTAGAAGGAATTATATACAATCAATTATGAAAAAGGCATATTTACTATAAATAGTGGCATGACACAGGTCGAAATCCATATTTCAGGCATATATCAGGGACCAATCGGGTAGCTATCGGGGGGACCAATAGATATCCAATAGGTGCCCGATAGGTATCCGATAGGTGTAATATAAATATGTCAGGGATCTATCGGTCACCTTATAAAAATCGGGT